ACCCCCCCCCCCCCCTCAAGCTGAAGCATGCGGATTCAGAATGTCCATCTTGGACAATAAATGATTAAATAAAGCTGCAAGCAAAGGTTTGGTAAGAATATCACCTGGTTATTTTGCGGAAGCAATGAGAGTTGTATGAAGGACGCTATTTTGAAGTTCATCATGAATGAAATGACCGTCAATCTCGATATGCTATGTACGTTCATGAAACAAAAGTTTAGTAGCAATGTGGAGGACAACCTGACTGTCGCAAAAAGCATCATAGGTCTGTGATGACGCACGCCTAATGGGAGTAAGAGGGCGCGAAGCCATTTGAGCTCGCAAACAATGTCATGGCGCGATACTCGGCAGAGGAGCGAGAGTGTGTTTTGTTCCTTCATGCGCTAAGAGATCGCCGAGCCACCGAGCTTTATAAAATAACATGTCATAGATCGCAGAGTAAGCATGCAATTTGCCCAATCCGAGAAACAATAAGTTGTAAGAAAGAGACTACATGACATTGGAAGGAAAAGCCCCTGTCGTGGACGAGATTTGATGTAACGCTGAACTAGTTGAGTGGCGTCCTAATGTTCCTGTCGTGGGGCGCTCGTGAACTAAAAAAAGATATGAACATAATATGCTAAATCAGAACATTAGATAGTAAAGTAGATAAGACAACCAACCAGCCAGCAGTAGCACCCTAGTTCAAGAAGTTCAGTTTTGGTGGTTAGTGCTAGGCCATGATTCGGCAAAATGTCTAAAGTACTTTTCTGTTGGCATAAGAAAATCCCATAAATCTCGAGATCCTTCGTGTGAAAACAATCGCAGAGGTATTTCTTAAATCGAGCAATCACTGCTTCATCAGTTCCCGCAATGATAAGACCATATACGTAGACCAAAACCTAGAGCTCCACGCTCCCCTTACGTAGGTGTACAAAGAGTAATCAGCTTTTGATTGGATAAAACCAAAAGCTCGTAAGGAGGATGAGAGCTTTGCAAACCAACAATGAGGAGCCTGTCATAGTCTATACGAAGATTTATGAAGAGGGCAGACCAAACCGGCTTGGCGAGAGGCAAGCTTAGGAGGAAGACGCATATACACTTCTTCTTTAAGATATTCATGAAGAAATGCTTTGGGAACATCCATCTGATGAAGAATCCAATGTTGTGCAGGCACGACAACTAAAAGAGTACGAACAATCACTAGTTTAGCTACATGAGCAAAAGATTGGTATGAAATAAAATTCTATTAAAACTAGTGAGGCAAAGTGTACCAACTCGTATCAGAAGTCTTCAAATTTGAATTTGTTTGATTAAATTGAGGAAAGTAATAGTTTGATTCTAATGATTATGATAGAATGGGTACATGAATTAATTTTAGGTAGTGAAAATTTTTCAGATACTTTAATTAGTTGGACTATTAAAGTACCTAATTAATTTAGCTAATGAGAAGTTCTGTCACAATTAATTCACTAATTTAACATATCTCTAGCATTATCAATGTGCTAGTATTGGTTGGCTAAACTACTTTTCACATTCACAAAGAAATGAACATAATAATTTTTTGAAAATTAATTAACAAATTTGCCAGAGAAATTAATTAGAATATTACTACAATTGCTAGTAACTTAAAATTTTAATTAATTAAGTTTAATATTCTAACATAGTTACTTTTCCTACATACCCACTACCATACTTCAATTCACAATATTAAAATATTTAGTCTAAGATGGATATAATAAAATTTCATATTTTTAATAATAGAACATTTTTATTTAAATTTATAAAAAATTTACAACTTCCAGAAAAATGGAATTGAAATATATATATATATATATATATATATATATATATATATATATATATATATCACAAAACTAGGATTCCTGAGAGTTTTACATAATTTTTCTCCAAGTATAGAGGTAATAATCTCCCTAAAAATCATTTTAACCATAACTCTATCCCTCTCACACTTTAACCGAATTGTGCCCTCGAGACTAAATGTGTTTAGAAATTAGAGTTGCGGTTAGAGAAAAATCACATGCAAATACTAAGTTATTATAACACTTAAAGAATTCAATTAAAACAAAAAAAAACAAGGAAAAATTATGGGGAAAAGGGCATATGGCATAGTAAACTTCCCCAAGATGTTCTCCATAAAGTTTGCACACAAAAAGATGATTCAAAATAAAATGGAACATCCAAGCAACCTGATCATACCATAAGAAAAAGCAAGTAAATGTGCAGCATCGCCTCGGGTCTAGGCAATGTCTCGGCTCTCGGTCTAATCCTTCTCGTTTGACCGACCTCTTTGTAAGCCAATGTGGGTTAGCATGGTAGTGTCTAAAAGTCGGACACTTTGTTCCAAGGGAAGAAGGTCAGGAATAAGAAGATGTTCCATAGATAGATATGCCTACGTCCTCCCGACGGTCAAACTCCAAGAATGGTCTCAGTGAGCAGATGAACTCGACAGTCAGAGGCAAACTAGCATCTGCTCGTAATGACAGGGAAGCGTGGCGAATAAATCCCTCAACATCTGTCCACACACCTGCAGCAGACAACGGCCTCTGATCAAGGATCACCGGGGCCTGTAGTGTCCTGTACGTGTTGAGCCCAACTGGCGAATCGAGCTTCATCGTTAGAAGTGGATAGGTGTTCCGGCCATCTGCAAAAGTGAACAAACAGTTATAAACCACCCTTTTCCTCTTTTTTGTTTTGTTTTTTGTTTTTTTTTTAATTAATATGATGAGTTGTCTCCCACTCAGCACTTCATTAAAATCACTAGCTTGACAGTTTTCCTTCTTCATCTTTAGTCCTCCAACGCTTAGAGGTATATCACTTCTCTTCCTTGGGACTAGGGGTGAGCAAATACCAAATCGATCACAAAATTTCTCAAAAACCGAGATTATCAAACCGATAAAGTACCAAAAAAGAATCATACCGTACTAAATGGTTGGTCTAGTATTCAGGGATTGGTACGTGGTAACTTCTCATACTGAAAAATCTTGAACCGAACATATATACGAATATGTTATAATGATAATAATAATTTTATATTTCTTCATAAAATAATGAATTGATTTTGAAAAGTTGGTTCAAGTGTAGATGAATTACAAATAATATTTCATTTAAATACTCATTTATTTGAATTTTAATTTTTTGTAGATGAATATAAAAAAATTAACATTTGAAATATTATTTTGTTATCATTCACTCTCTTTTACTTGCGAAATACGAAGTATAAATTAAACTAAGTTATTTAAGCATTTCTTGCATTTAATTATTCATTTTTCAATTTTTTTATCTTTCTTTATTTGAATGTACTTTCAATTTTTTTAAATAAAGAGTTTTATACATTTCAAAGTGTAAACTAGGTACGTACGTATACATACATACATATATACATACATACATACATACATACATACATACATATATATATATATATATTTATATATATATTCATCCCAATATTTACTGACACCAAAATTGATCCATCATGAACCATACTGAACCGATACTTCGGGATCGGTACGATTTAAAATCTCATACCAAACTGAAATATTTAGTACGGTATCGGTACGAACCAAATACCGTACCACGCTCACTCCTACTTGAGACCCTTCAAACTTCTTCAAGCGTTTATCGTTTACTTTGAAACCTACATTCTTCCCTCGAACTTCTATCGTTCCATATGGGTAGACTTTTACAACTTCAATCTAGACTTTAGTATCTCGAAAAACAACTTCAACCGAAAATTGTACATAAGTACTTAGTCACTTTCATGGAACTCTTTGGATTGTTTAATATGCGCATTGTGGTATTTCTTTACTCGCTCCTTGTATTACTGATTGTTGTTGAAAGTCAATGCTCTCCACTCATCCAGCTGGTAGAATCTTTCTCTTCTTGCAACAAAGCATCTTGACACGCATTTCTGACTGTCCATAGTGCTTTGTGCTCAATCTCGATGGGTAACGAACAATATTTCTCGTAAACGAGATGGAAAGGAGTAATTCTGATGAGAGTTCTAGGTGTAGTTAGTTCGGAAGGCCCATAATGCATCATCAAACTTTATACTCTAGCCCTTCTGAGTTTTAGCAACGATCTTCTCCACTATTGCCTTCAAATCGCGATTAGTATTTTCCACATGGCCTTGAGTCTGGGGATGGTAAGTCACACCACCTCCGTGCTGAATTACATATCAATCATTTTTTAGCTTTTCACATTCCCATCTTATTATGGGGTATTACATCTGAGGTCATGTGGCTTACCTATGTTCTCAATGACTTGCGCGTACCAGTCTCTCCTCCACTGCTTTTCTGTGACAATCAATCTGTTTCATGTCTCATGAAGAATCCAGTATTTTACAAACGTATGAAGCATGTAAAGGTACATATTGTATAATAATAATAATAATAATAATAATAATAATAATAAGGATAATAATAATAATAATAGAAATATTATGTATGAAATTATGGTAGTAATTGTATTCCTTGTCAGTTTCCATATGTCATTCCTATACATGTTTGGAATCTGTCTCTATATATACTTTCGCAACTTGAAGAATACAATTGTTTCATTATCTAATACTAACTACTTATTTTTGTTTATTTATTTAAAGGGGGAACTAAACGTAGGAATAAACAAAAAAATACCAACATAGAAGTTTAAAATATTTTTATTTTCAAAATAGAGGTTGCAACATCAACAATGTCCTAATATAATATCAAAAAATAATGTAAAATACTAATGTACAGTGTTGTATTGTCACAATACAAACTCTTATTTTGGGAATAAAAACATGACACTCTTATTTTGGGGATAAGAGCTATGTTTTACATTTATCTTTGAGTGATTTCGTAAAAAACTATATACATGAACTAGTTTTTGATAAAATATTTCTAAAAGACCATACAAATAATTATATGTAAGAACAATGATTCTATATCAATAATTTCTTACTTTTTGAAATCATTTTATTTACAAATTGATATATCAATAAGAAATAAAAATTACATGTTACAAAACTACGTCAGAAGTTACGTTCTACAAAACAAGAGGTGATAAAAATGTTATATTTTATCGAAGACTTAATAAAATCACGTAAATAAACAAAAGTCATCGAGAGGAGAGAAAAAAGATATGATCAAAATGGAGACAGAGGGAGTATCCCACAGAAACAACTGTTACGTGCATATGTGGGAGAAACAGGATGTTAAAATAGTTCGGAGTACTTCAGAGGACTATAAAAAAAGCTAACCAAACTCATTTAGGCTCTATTATTTTAAGTTGGAATTTCAGAGTTGAATGTTGAAAAAACTAGGAGTTGGAAGAAAATAGAAATAGTTGGATAAACTTGGAAGAAGTTGGAAATTGTTGGAAGAATTTAAATATTTAAAAAATCACTCAGTTAAATGATCATCTAAATATATTTGCGAGAAAACTTTGATTTTGGATGAAAAGAATTCATCATTATTTGTGTTTGATGTGATACATCATAAATTTAGATATATAGTCATTGGAAGGAGTTGAGAAAAGTTGGAAGTTGATTTTTCCAACCAAAAGAAGAGAGTCTTACTTACTCACTTCGTTTCAAAATGTTTGTTATATTTCATAAAACCGAAATAAAATTATACGTTTTCTTAACTTATTGTACTTAAAGATGTGTTTAGAAATAAAAAATAAATTTTACATATTCAAAAATTAAGTTCAAAATTCTTTAAAATAAGATATGATATTTTATCAAATAATTAATAAAAATAAAAAAAACAAACAAAAATTCGTGTGACTTTTAAATAGCGAAGGAGTATTTATTGGTTTTCTTTTGACCTAAGATATTTCCCTTCCAAAATCCAGGGTAGTGGGTACTGCAGGGGAGTGAGCGAAACAGCGCCAGTGGATCGGCGGCGAGATGCGGTGGTACGTCGTTGCTTCTCTTCTCACCGTTCTCACCAGCTCCCAGGTTTCCTTCAAACCCTAATCTCTCTTCTCAAATATAATGATTTACATTGCAATTTCACTTCATTTTCCTCTTCTGATCCGCCGGGGGAAATATATAAGTATGCTTTCATTCGGTAGCCCTCAATAGTAAATCGCGGGAGGCCTTTCTTCAATCGTGAGGTGAATTCATCGCAGTGTTTGGATTTATGTGTTGAATGTGAATGAAATGCGGCAGGGAATCTTGACGACGTTATCTCAGAGCAATGGGGGCTATGAATATGACTATGCCACTGTTCCTTTTCTTGCTGAAGTCTTCAAGGTAACACTCCCTTCCTCCCGCGATTGAATTCACAGTTTGATTTTAATGGAATTTTTGGAAAGCTCTTTTTTCTATTGACCTCTCAAACTGCACTTGTAATTAATTGGTCTGGGTGTGCTACAAAAGGTGGCTCTGTCAATGAATATTGGATCTTTTAAGAAAAGATGAACCGTTTAGGAAAATGGGGCGAGTATACAATGTAGATCAGTAATGAAAAGGCGAGTTACTCCACATTTACCTTCACAAGGGCAATGAGAACTATGCAAAGCATGGAGTTCATGTACCTACTACGGGTGCATTCTTACACCTTACATGTGAGATCGACTTGGATCATAGCTCAATTTACTCCTCCAAGCCAGGGGACTGTCCCTCTAGTTTTGGGGGACCCTAGGGGACGGGGTTCATCGTTATTTTGTTGTTGTGAGTTACTCCGTATTTAAGAAAAAGGTGGGCTTATTCCTGAAAGTGAGGTGTGTAAGAAATTGTGAGGAGTGTGTTAGGAAAGATTGTTAATGATATTTAGACTTTTGCTTCAAATTCTTTACCAGAATGTCCAGAAGTAGAAGACAACAACAATAACAACCCTGTTGGGTCCCACTTTTTAGGAAGTAGAACTGTAGAAGTGTGAATTTAACTGCATAACATTTAGAGAAGGAAAGTAGGACTTTAATTTTGAGAGAGAGAAGTATATGAAGTGAAAGTTCAGTCTTGTCTGAATGTGTTTGTTTAATATCTTAAAATTAACTTCTGTTTCCACTTAATTGCAGCTTCTTGTATCTTGTATCCTTCTGTCTAGAGAGATGAAAAGCTCACCTACTCCACAAATGACCACGGATTGGAAGAGCATCCGCCTGTACCTAATTCCATCTATCATTTACCTCATTCACAATAATGTTCAGTTCGCTACTCTTAGATATGTGGATACATCAACTTATCAGATAATGGGCAACTTGAAGATTGTCACCACTGGAATATTGTTCAGGTGCTACATTTGTCTTGTTTGTGATGTATTAGCCTGGGAGTTTCCTATTTCCCCCAAACATCATGAATGTTGGTCATTAAAAAAATTGTTTTAGGTTGTTTTTGAAGAGAAAGCTTTCTCCTTTGCAGTGGATGGCAATCGTATTATTGGCTGTTGGAACAACCACAAGCCAGGTGCTTCTGCTATTTGTATTCTGTTCACGAGCTCATGCGCTATGCTCTGTGAGCTCGGATCAATACTTTCAATGCTTTTGCCAATAATTTAATAACTATTACTCACAATATATCACATAATATGGGCGTGTGAGCGTGTCAAACTAGGCATGAGTTACTGAAGTGTTTGGTTTATGATGCAGTAAAGCCAAAGCCTCAAAGGTGTATTGCTGTTCTTTTTTGCAGTTAACATTTTCCAGTGATGTACTCCCTCCGTCCGACATAGATCTTGCCAAATGACCTTTTTATTTGTTAGTGAAAGATCTTCCCATTGCCTTTTTTAACATTTAAAATACCACAACTACTCCCACTTTATTTTTTATACCTCACCCATCTCATTTAATATACTGCACTCAGTTTGTGTTTCATTAAACTTCCACCTTTTTTCAACTCTGCTCAGAAACCACAAAAAATCAACTTGGGAAGATCTATGGTGGACGGAGGGAGTAATAATTTGAAGAAACATATCAATGCAACCATGTAATAAGGAATTAAGGACCAGTAATAAGAGAGAACATTTTTATTTCTCAAAAAAATACTAGTTAGTGATTAGGGTGAAATGGCTCTGACAGTAGGGCTTGTCTGTTGCAATTGATGTAGGTAAAAGGCTGTGGAGAGGCTTCTTGTGAGTCATTGTTTTCATCACCCGTCGAGGGATATATGTTTGGGATTTTGTCTGCTTTTCTTTCAGCCTTAGCTGGGGTGTACACTGAATTCTTAATGAAAAAGAACAGTGACAGCTTGTACTGGCAGAATATCCAACTATATGCGTAAGTTCCTTTCCGTATGTCATAGAAAGTTAGCTTTCATGAATCTGTCAAAAAAAATTGCGAACAAGTGAAATATGATATATAAATCAAACTAGCAAATGGGTTTTTATAATATTGTACCTTGCCAAAACTAAAAGGTTGTTTTTATCAATGAGACTTTTTTGTTTTGTATGGGATGAAAAGGGTATTAATACACAATATAAATTTATCTGTCTTGAGAAAATCATATGTGCTGAAGATAGATAAAAGTTGATGGCATAGTAAGATGATTATATTGCATTTTAGTGAATGAGATATTGATGCAAAACAGTTCCTTCTATTCCCAGATTTGGCTCAATATTTAACATTGGACGTCTTCTACTCGATGATTTCAAAAGTGGGTTTGAGAGAGGGCCATGGTGGCAACGCCTTCTACATGGATACAGTATTACAACATGGTTGGTGGTTTTGAATCTGGGAACAACTGGGCTTTTGGTGTCATGGTTAATGAAGTATGCCGACAATATTGTTAAGGTTTGGTCTTTTTTTCTCTTCATTTCCTTCTTCAGATTCCTTCTGCTTTCTCATGAGATTTGTGCTTAATAGTAAATGTCTGGGGCATCACCAAGTTAACCATTTCTTGAAGTCCGTTATTGGATGCATTATTTCCTTTCTTCAACCAATACAAACTTGAATATATTTTCCATGTTGTGAAGGTATACTCCACATCTATGGCAATGCTTTTAACAATGTCATTATCAGTGGTCTTATTCAATTTCAAGCCAACTGTTCAGGTAAGTTATGTACCCCTACCCCCCCAATCATCACTCGTGTATATAGCTCTAAATGTATCATATGCTTGTTGTAAAAAAATGACTACACTATGATGTTCTTGGAGCATTCATGTTGACTCTTATATACAAGAAAAACACTCCCTCAAATTAGCTACTTTTCTTTTTTGGGGCGTCTGGAATTAGTTGTCCACTTACCATATATAATAAACAAATTATTGTGAATTATCAAAAAAGTATCAAAGAGCATGTTAGCATTGTTCTTATTCGTGAAGGACAAATTTATTATAAACCCAACAACATTATGTCAACTACCCACTTGGGATCATAGTCCCACTTTGCAATTGGGTCATAACATGATGATGCCATGGGAAAAGAAACATCATGCTGATTATTGTGCAGTTAAAGTTATTTTTAATACAAATGTTTTAAGAATCTTCATTCCATTGCAGCTGTTTTTGGGCATTGTTATCTGCATGATGTCACTACACATGTACTTTGCTCCCCCAAACAAGCTGGTGGATTTGCCTTTGACAACAAAACCTGCCCCCGAGAGCTTAGCCGAAAGAACAGTTTCATGATGTATATGTACGAGTAAAACGTAGAGAAAGTACCAAAATAGGAGTTCCATATTTGTATTTTCAAAATAGAAGTTACAATACCAAGAATGTCAACATATAATACCAAAAAACACCGTAGAATGCCAATATACAGTGCCACATTATCAGTGCAAACTTTTATTTTGAGAATAAAATCATATGGAGGTTTTATTTTGGTACTTTCTTTATGTCTTACTCTTACTCTGGATGATTTCTTATACATATATATTGGTTTGGATTGATGTCTTCATTTGTATTTGCACGAAGCATTTCATCCCCGTTCTTAGCTTAACCACAGGAATAGAGATGGGTGCATCTCTTCACTCAGTATACCGACAATAGGGACGAAGTTGATCTTTCTCATGATTCCAGAGCTGATTTTCAAATGTGTACAACTGTACAAGCCATCCACAGATTGTAGTTGTGTTTACAATACGTTAGAAGGGGTATTTGAAAATGCCAAATTCTAGGATATGTTCCTTTTTGTGAACCCCTGGATTTTGATATGAAAGTCTTCTGAATTTTATACTACATATTGTTAAGGAACATTAGACTATTGTTTAAACTATTCACACATTAACATGTTGGATAAGAAGGTTTCATACATGGCCACATCACATCTGCATCAATATCCCTTTGCAACCTAAACTAACCCCATTTTCTCCCCAACTCTCTCCCCATGGTCCAATGAGAAGATGTCAAACCAAAGATCTTATAATCGAATTTCGATTGCGGCAATGTGAGAGTCTTATTCTTTGTAATAGCTCTTTGTGCGCACTGGACACGAGGTGACATCTCAAAGGATCAAACTAAATTATACCATGATTTAACTTCTTCACAATCCTGTCAGGTCGGGGTGTGGAGCGCCTGGGATCGATGTCCACCTTTATTGCTCAATACTTTGTCCCATCTCTATTTGTTCCATAACCCACCAAAATCACACCATGGTCTATATTTGTCCCACATCTTCTAGCAAACCTAGACTCAATGGCATATCACGATACTTTATGAGGGTGCCTCTGGTAGCAATCATTTGGAGGCATCCTAGCATTTTTCTATTTTTATTCTTTCTATCTCTCTTTTTACAGATTTAAGCGATATGCTACCACACATGATTCCATTAATGACACCATTTGTTAATTTGTCCTTGCATATCATCCTATAAAGTAGCATTGAAAAATAAATGAATATATACATATTTTATGTTTACAGTTATTTATTTTTCTATTTTCTTCGTATCAAATTAAATTAATTGTTTCGGATTACAATTTAGACTAAAATTATTTTCAATTGAATTTATTTGAAAATTTAGGTAAAATTTAAATATAAAATATACATATAAAAAATACATTAAAAATTCTATGAAATGAGGGTGGCCTCATTTTATTATCTTATCGAATAAGTAACAAAAATAAGTAAAGAAAGTAAATGAAATTTGATAATATAAAATTGTAAATACTCTGTACTAAATAGACAAAGGTTAATAGCATGGGCACCCCCTGTGGTTTACAAAAAGGGCGTCAAAACCCCCCTGTTTTCAAAAGTTATTTGTAAAGTCCCTGTGGTTTCTAAATAGAGCACACATGCCCCCCTTACCTATTTTTAAAGCAAAAATGACATTTATGCCCTTTGTTTTCCCCGATCTTGAATTTTTCCGATTTTAATTTCTTTTATTATAGAAATATATAAAATAAAATATATGCTTTCCATCTCAAATTAGAATTTTTCATAATATACTTTTGAAAACAAAATATTTTTTGGAGAATGTTACAAAAAAATGAAAAATAAAATATTATGTACAAAGTAAAAAGTAATAACAGTTAAAAAAAGTAATGAAAAGAAATAAAAATATAAAAAATAGTCTTTTTCTTTAACTCCTTAATTTAAAAATGAAATATGAAGAACAGAAAGATGAAATAAAATATGGAGTTACTTTTTTATATTTTTATTTCTATTCATTACTTTTTTTAACTGTTATTACTTTTTACTTTGTACATAATATTTTATTTTTCATTTTTTGTAACATTCTCCAAAAAATATTTTGTTTTCAAAAGTACATTATGAAAAATTCTAATTTGAGATGGGAAGCATATATTTTATTTTATATATTTGTATAATAAAGGAAATTAAAATCGGAAAAATTCAAGATCGGGAAAAACAAAGGGCATAAATGTCATTTTTGCTTTTAAAATAGGTAAGGGGGCATGTGTGCTCTATTTAGAAACCACAGGGACTTTACAAATAATTTTTAAAAATAGGGGGGGTTTTGACGCCCTTTTTGGAAACCACAGGGGATGTCCATGCTATTAACCCAAATAGTCAACTTAATTTGAGAGAGAAAAATATTACTCTTTTTTTACATTAAATTTTACATCTCAAGAATGTCGGGCCGGGTCCTGGCAGTCCATCCCGGAGCTTCGGTCGAATTATAGCAGCAATTAAAAGACAATTGGGCCGGGTCCTGATCATCCTTGGCGTCGAGAAGAAATCACTTCAAATTCTCACACGACAATGGAGCGCAGTGTAAGATGCTCGTCGTCCTCCTTTCTCCCTTCCCCAGTCTCCTGTTCGACGAAATTCCCCAGAGAGTTTAGGGGTCAGAAGGGCATAAATTTTTTAAGAATTCTTGCAGCGAAATCGACCCCTGAGAACACTTCACAAGCCGTGCAAAAAGGGTCCAAGAAGGACCTTTCTCGGATTCTCCGAACCGAGGCGGCCGTTAAAGCTATTGAGAAGAAAGCCAACTCTAGCAAGTACAGTAACCTCTGGCCTAAGGTTGTCTTGGAGGCCCTTCATGATGCTATCAGGGAAAACCGTTGGGAGTCTGCTCTTAAGGTTACTCAAATCTCTGCTATTTTACCCAAACTTTTCTTATGATTCTTTAGTGTTATTCTTTGGGCCGTGGTAAATTGTAGGCGTTTCTTTAAGAACTTGAAGGCATTGTTTCTACAAGAGATCCTTAGCTTCTTTAGGAAAGGTTGAAAAGGAAAGAGATATTCTTTGGCCCTTTGGAAAACTATACCTGTATGCATTAACCCCATAGCTGGATTGCAAAGTCATGGGTACTGTGCAGTGCAAGATTCATCTGTTATGCTCCCGTTTGCCATTAGCGTTAGAGTTCAGATTTTGAGTTTTGGAAATGATACCCAAATGTAGTTTTTAGCTTTACTGTTTTCAAACATTGATCTGCAGCGTTAAAAGTTTAATCAAAACTTTAACGCTGATTTAAAAATTGTTATTCCCAAACGGAGCCTAGTAAATTGGAATGAATAAAGATTGCTTTTTGTTACAGTTAAATAAGAATTTGCAACCATATACGTCCCGAAAGGAATGTTATTAGTTTGAATTACACAATTTTGAATGAATCAAATGTTTAGCATTGGCTTCCAAGAATGTCATTGTGATAGTAAAGTAGGGATTAAATTACGGCCGCAAGTAGGGATATTAAATGAGGATAGTAAAGTAGTACCATTACCTTTTCATTTTTACCGCATATGGAAAGAGTCACGTCACTTGTGATTTATTCTGGGTTTTTTTTGCATCGAAGTTTACCTGTCTACGAAACTCAAACTCTTGATTTTCTATTTGCAGATTTTTAATCTTCTTCGTAAGCAACATTGGTATCAGCCAAAATGTCGGACGTATGCAAGGCTTTTGGCAATGCTTGGCAACTGCAGGCAGCCAAATCAAGCCAGCCTGCTGTTTGAGATGCTGCGGTCTGATGGGCTTCGACCAACTGTAGATGTCTATACTGCACTTGCAAGTGCATATGGTCTCAGCGGCCTCATTGATGAAGCACTGGATATCATTCATGACATGAATTCGACCTCTGATTGCAAGCCTGATGTCTTTACCTACTCAATACTCATCAAATGCTGCATGAAATTCCAACGCCATGAAATGATCGACCAAATGTTAGCCGAAATGTCTTATTTGGGAATCAGATGTAGTAACGTGACCTACAACACTATAATTGATGGCTATGGGAAAGCTAATCTTTTTGAGAAAATGGAGAACTCATTGCTAGAGATGATAGGGAGTGGGGAGAGTCTTCCCGATATATTTACTTTGAATTCGGTTGTTGGGGCTTATGGTAATGGTGGAAACATTGAGAAAATGGAGAAGTGGTTTGATGAGTTTCAGCTTATGGGAATAAAGCCCGATGTCATGACATTTAACATACTAATCAAGTCCTATGGAAGGGCAATGATGTATGAGAAAATGGGGCAAGTGGTCGATTATATGAGGAAGCGCTTCTACATGCCAACGATTGTTACTTATAATATAATTATTGAGACTTTTGGAAAAGCCGGAAATATCTATAAGATGGAAGAGTTTTTCCTGGAAATGAAACATCGAGGAATGAAACCTAATTCAATCACTTACTGCACCCTGATTAGTGCTTATAGTAGAGTAGGAGTTGTAGAAAAGGTCGATTCAATAATGAGGCAAGTAGAAAACTCGGATGTGCTTCTGGATACTGCATTTTTCAATTGCACTATCAATGCTTATGGCCATGCTGGTGATATGGAGAAGATGGTTGAGTTGTTCTCTGAAATGAAGGTCAAACAATGCAGACCAGACAATATCACCTTTGCTACCATGATAAAGGCATTTAATGCAAAGGGAATGTTTGAGGCTGCCAATGATCTACAACGAAAAATGCTCCCCGACAATAACTCTGCAGGTACTTTTTTTTTAATGCCATGCGAATTGTGTTGTTTTGGACTATAATGAGTGCACCACCACTAGTTATGACTGGTAAGGCTACCTTGTGTCCAGGGCTTTTGAAACAAATTCAAGGATTTTGTAAAATAATTGCCCAATTATATTATTTGGGGGGGGGGGGGGGGCTAGTGCTTATTAGTTTATTGCTGATAAGCAATTTTTAATTATATAAGCCAAATGTTCTCTCGTGAAAGTAAAGTGAGTTAAATGATTGATAAAGTCATTTGGGAATATTCATAAATGATAAGGGACTATTTTGAAAATAATCTGGTAAAAATGGAGAAACGAAAAAATCGGCTGAAAAATAATGAGGTAAAACATACTTATTTTTTTGGCTTATAAGTCAGTTGATAAAGAGAAACATGTCATCAACTTGCTTATAAGTTAAAAATTGCTTATAAACATTTTTGACCAGCTTATAAGCACATAGAAACACCCACATAGTACCGTTTAAAAAAAACAAAAGTAGAAGATAGTCTATAAATGGAAACATTGAATGAGGCCAGGGGGAGTAGCTAAAGTTAAAAAAGTTTTTTTACTTGCATGAACCACATGGTGATTCTGTTAGATGTTTAAAGAAACTCAGATAGATTATTACACTTTGTTTTGGTGACCACTTGATATTTGATCTCAATTTTTCCATTTCTTTGAACTGTAGGGACGAAGTTAAGTCGAATCATAGCTTGATTAGTTTGTTGTTGGACCGCGCGGGATGGAGGAGATTTCTTCGACTTTTTACAGTGAGAAGTTTCCTTATATGTTAGTGACGATGGTCAACTTGTAAGTAGTGCAGCATCCTTTCTGTTTTTCGTCATCTTGAACTTAATACTGTATAATACGGAGTATAAAACGTTGTAGTATATTATATCCTGACCCAAACCTGGTCTGTGTGGGTTGGTCTTTTCGGTGAAAGAAGACTTTTTTTTGAGACGGAGGGAGTACTATTTTCTTGAGGAAAAGAACAGACCAAAGTGGGAAGTAGTATGAAAAAAATGTTATTCTGGGTTTAGAATACTGCAGAGTATGAAATAATGAAGGCTTGGAATGTACTAATTTGATTTCATGATTACTGTTATTTTTACACCAAGGGATAGAAGAGCTCTGGTTGTGATGTTCTCTTTTAGTTTTGTAATTTTAATGCTCATAGTTGTTGTAATGAGAATTTGCATAATAAGGAAATTATGCAAACCATAATTTGCATCCATGCCATAATACTACGAATGGAGTACCGTAGTTGCCCTAATTGTACCAATGTCATTATACTACGAACGGAAAAATTTGTTAGGAAATAGATAATCTAGTCATTGAAGAGCACATGAATGAAGCAATTGACCTTAAAGAGGAGTTGGATGCCGGACACGAGAGGAGTTGGACGCAAGACGTAAGAGGAGATAGACGCCGGACGCAAGAGGAGATAGCTTCCAGACCAGTAGCTAACAAACTTCGTCTTCTTTGCGAAGAACGTTCACTATTTCAGCAATGTGAGACTGCGAGTCGCGGATTGAGTAAATTTTGCTTCATTGTGAGTTGAGTAGATTGCTTAGATCGTGTACTTTGTGATTTAAGGTTTTTTTTATTAAAAGAATAGAAATAAAGAATCGAACTCTCAATCAAAAAACCAAAGAATTAGGATCAACTAAACCAATTAATAGTTGCCCGTGAGGCATGGAATAGCTTGCTATCCATATTTTGGTCTCTAAAATTAGATATGAATAGATTGAGTGATGAGTAACAAAAATCTTAACTCACATCAAATATTGATTCATTACCTCATTCATCTATCATGTATATTATGGTGGTGCATGTCTAGTTTGGAATGAGTGTTAGAGATTAGCGTTAGTGTTTTGAAAAAGCTATCGACAATAGCCTTTAGCGTTATTATTTTCAAAATTAATATGCATCATTTAAATTTTATCCAAAATGCTAATTATGGGTATCCGCCGGGATAGATGCAAATTGCCATCCCTACCCCTCCCCCCTTTTGGAAATTGGATTCCCGTCGATCACCGAACTCGGGTCAGACCAGACCAGGCATGGCGACTGTTCCGAATCTGTCTCTATTTCTCTCTCCGCCGCAACCCAGGAGACGTCCACCGCTCGCTTCCCGCGGTTATCGTCTCTCACTCGTCTTCCCTGTCACTTCACCATCTCTACTTAGCGTTTCTCATTTTCGTCGGAAGGGAATGCCGGCGATCTCTTCTCTCCCGGCGGGTTCCTTGATTTCCGATGCAGAACAGGTCCCGAATCCCCCGGGAATTGCTACCGCGTCCGGAGATGGGGCTTCAATTGTCATTTCTGCTCTGTTTCTCACTGCATTCATTGCGTTGTCCGTTCTCACTGCCGGGGTTATCTATTTGGCTGTAACAGATTTCATTCAGAGGAGGGAAAGCGAGAAGCTTGACAGAGAAGAGGCTTCCAAGAGGAAGAAGAAGAAGGAGAAAGAGAGCAGGAGAAGGGGGAAGGTCGCGAGCAGAGCTAAATCCGGACCTCTAGGGTTTGGACAAAAGATTGTGGAAGAAGATGATGAGGACAATTGACACTTTTCAAACATTGAAGATGAAGCCTCCCTTTTGAAGCTCAATGATATTGTCAGTATTTACTTGTTTTACTTCTACTTGAATATCCTTCATTTGCCATTCTCATCCATTCTTCAGTTCAAGAATGTTCAATCATTACAGAAAAGAATTGCAGCCGATCTTTCATGTTGGTAATGATCACAAGTACTTGAAGTTTTTGAACTTGTTGCTTAGTGAGTAGAATTATGATTATAATTAAATCCTTATTTTACTTGTTGGTGGTTGATTCATGAGGAATCATGACACATTCTTTGGCTATACTTCATACTTCTTTTTTATGGTGTTTCCATAAAAATGTCATCTCCATTGCTGTGGAAAAATGTCTCATTGCCACAAATTTGCACAATATGCCACCATGAACCTAGCTAATTGGTCACTTGCATTGTTATCATAATTTTTTACTCGAACCCCATAAAGTTAGCCTATGAAAGATTTCATTTTGAATTTTTGACACATCTTTTGATCGTTTCGATCTATGTATTTGGATCATTTGGAAGTGCCTCGGAAACATTAGGAGCTAACATTTATGTTTTGTCAGATAGAAACATGGCGAGCATTTGTGACACATGAAACATTAGAAGCACAATGTTGGTGATTATTTGTAAAGATTGATCAGGTAAGATTTCGTTCTTTTATTTTTTTGTTCTTGGATGAATTCTCGAAAAGAAGAACAAGGGTATGGATATCATGACATATCAGCTTACATTGCTTATTTCTAGAGAACTGCATTCTGTGAATCTTATTTTATTTTGAAAGTTCCAAGTTTTGACCCACAAGTCAATGGTCAATATCAAAGTCAAGTTTAAGCTAAAAGTGTCATAATCCAATTTGAAAAGTATCATGTTCCAAGTTTAAGTTACTTCTAACCCAAAGTCACATCAAGTTTCGAGCTTCAAGTCAATAACATTTTTTATCCTAAAAGTGTGTCAATTTTCAATAGTTCCAATATGATTTTTAACAACCTGTTTTGATTCGATCTGGTGTCAAACTTGCTGATTTATTGTCCATGGAATGTGTCAGGTTCTTGAGAAGCCAATGAAGACATTAACACAATTATGAACAAAAATGGAGGCCAAGAATGATATCAACACATCCGAGAGATACTCAATACGAGTCCTAATTTCAGAGTGGGACGGAGGAAGTACTATATAAGTTATTACGGAGTACTAAGCTAGTATAACTTTGTCTATAAAATGGATGAAAATGATAGTACAAAGTTTGGGGAAAGAAAGCCATGAATGACTTTAAACGTCGCAATCTATTTGTCAGAAAATAAATTACATTACGTTGTTGGCAAAATAGCTCAAAATTGTTATTCACAAAAGAAAATTGCACACTTCACCACTAATACCAATCATTTTTTCTCCCACAAATTCGTGGACCCAAACAAGGGTCGTCATTTTTCTCCCTAAGAAGATTACATTGCATGAAACAATTGAATTACATGGTTGGTTTGCTCATCTAGCTGTGACTACTTTGCCTACTTGAAAACCGGGCACCCCTCAACCACAATCCCGGGAGCGGTGGGGCAAGCCGCGAGAGGGCAGTGGTCCAACTCCGACCCCCACCACTTCAAGTTTTTATGCTCGTTCTGCAATGCGAAGAACAGAAGAACAGCCATGAAAGCAGTCCCCGCGTCCAACGCAGCCGAGAGGACATAATTGTACTTTTTCCACCACTCCTTCCTGTACTTGAACACAAAGTAGTTGAATATCAGCCCAGTCACTATCCAGCTGGCTATGTTGGTCGGAGTTGCGGGGGGCATCCCGGCAAACCCGTAAGAGATCACCGGAATATTGATGAGGGGAATCCATTTCTTCTCCGGGTACATTTTGCTGAGTAGCCAAACGGGCACAGGCAAGACCGCTCCCACCAGGAATAGCCAAACCAGGTTCCTGTACAACCCACCCGGTCCAAACAGCCGCTTTGGCCCGATCAGTCCCCATATGACCGAAGCGTCAAACGTGACTCGGAACTTCGGGCACGTCCACGGACTATCCGGATGAAGCGCCTCGATGTCACATATGTTCTCAATGCTACCCAACATCCACCAGCACACCGCAAGGTTGACGACACCAGAAACAATTGTCCCCACCAGCTAAATCAAAAAACATAGTAACGCTTTTAAAACTTAGACAGTGACCAAACCATTGTCTTAGTGTTACCTAGACTAATTACCTGAGCTGTGTACATGCTGCGTGGGGGGATTTTCAAATAGTGACCAAGTTTAAGGTCAGCTAAGAATGAGAGTGTGTGAAGAGTGCTGATTCTCCCATAAATCTTAAAGAGCAAGTTGGCAATGGGTTTTCCTGGAAGGATATACCCAATGATGAACTGAGCTATAATGTCATAACCCGGTTGCTGCCACGAAAAAAAATTCAAAGCATGAGACACACGTAGTGACACTAGCAACTAGACCCATAGCACGAAAAACGCAAACCAGGCTTTACCTGGTTCGTTGTGGCTTGAATGACACCGATGGGGAGACTAACGACAAACGCTAGAGCAAACGCAAAGAGCATTGCCCACCATGGAATTTGAACGGTTTCTTTCCAAACAAAGCACATAACGAGCGAAAGGCAGGTGCTGGCAAGGAGCAAAATCAAGAACCACCATTCCGGGACTTGCTTGTAACTTCTCATTAGTTTGGCATGGATATCCATCTTGACATTCCTCGCGGCAGATCTTGTTTGTTTCCAAATATCACTGACAAACAAAGAAGCAAACTTGAACCCATGGTCAAAAACATCTAGGGGAATCTCACATTTGACACTATAGCGTCTCCGAGGCACACATGCAATAACTGTCTATGTTGGAATTGTTTGTGTGTGTGTGTGTCTATGAGACACTGGTGTCAAATGTGGGGTTATTGTTTATGTATATAACATCATTGAGTGACAAAAGGCCAAACCTGCCATTGAAAAGAGCCACATGTGTCAAAGTTGCTGTGAACCGTGGGAATCCGGACCCAATGGATAGGGCGAAAAGAGGGCTAAGATAGAGCTTGCTATAGCTCTTATATGCAGCAATGTTCAAGTCAAATTGAGGGGTCAAGACCTTAGTGGTGTCATATTTGTGACCACTAGATGTGAAGAGTTGGTTTGAGAATATAGGGAATTTCCGGGCATCAAAGGTGCCGAACTTCCAGTAACACAGAGGGACGATTAGGTAAACGAACATGACGAAACCAACAGCAACATTCAGAATCGAGGACCATGGCGTGACCAATGGGCTTCCGTGGTAAGCCGAAATCCCGGCCCAATCAAGTGTGAATGCACCCAGGCCCAGCCCGTGGTACGCTGAGCCGATCTGCTGGGCTGTTATGCTGCGGGGCCACACCCAACATACCCACGAGAAGAAGGTTAAAATCGGAAACAAGTAGCCGGGCAAAATGTAGTATATGAAACTTGCTCCCATGACTATCAGAAAAAACTTCATCCTGGTTAATCCTCTTGACTTCACTTCCTTTTCATGGAGTGCTCTATCAATACAAGAAAAACACAAAACCAAGAATACAATTGTTAGAGTTCATGTGTTCTTAGAAGGAAGAACAACCTCAGATTACAGTAAAATCCCAACCCAGAAAAACCTCAGACCTGAATAGAGAAACTTGGGCCAGGTTTGATGGCCACCACATATCTACTGGATCAACAAGGTACCTCCTCAACACCCCTGCCCATCCATACCCTATAAGCTGCATAATAACACCAGATCAAGAACCTTTCAAAAACTGAGTCTTTGCAACAAATTCAACATTTGATTGGAAAATTTTGTGCCAAATACTCCGAGAAATTCGAGATTCTACTAGATTACATAAGCATCACAAATACTCATCAAAAAAATTGTTGTAAATATGTTGAATTTCTGTGAGCATGGGAGATAATTAAGTAATTTTGGAGTATTATTATAAAATCTCAAAATTTTGAAAGTATTAACATGAATTTTTTTCTATATGATTTTGCATCCCACTGTTTGGAATTACACTCATAAATCAACCCATTTCACCCTAAAGTACTCCTAGGAGTATCAGAAACTAGAATTGAATTAGATCAAATTGAGTAAATCAAAAGATAGAAAAGAAATTTTGAGGAAATCAATTTAGCTAAAACTTAAGCTTTTTTTATTTATAATAAAACACAAATATATTTTATTAAAAAAGGGAGAGTGACAGAGTATAATTTTAATAATATAATATATATATATATATATATATATATATATATATATATATATATATATATATATATATATATATATATACCTGAGTGGTCAAGACAATGATGAGGGCACAAAGAAAGCTCAGGCTTTGTTTATAATAAGCTTTCATAATAGTAACAGCTCCGATGGAGTAGGCGTCGCCGCCGCCAGGAGAGACGCCGCAATTGGCCATGACGGTGATGATGGCGTGCTCCTTGATGTTGAACGGCCCCGGATTGAGGGTGAAGCTCCAGCGCCCGAAGGCGGTGAACCTCCGCTCGGGCAGCGTGGCGGCCATGAATCTGCCGGCGGGGAGGACCGCAATCTGCATGAGGATGGCGGAGATGGAGAGGGGCTGGGTCCGGTAGATGAAGAAGGTGTTGAGGAAGATGAGGACGACGCAGGAGACCAGCCCGAGGAACCAGGCTCGGAAAGTCATGACCGGGAGCGTGGGGTCGTCGGTCTCCGGCACCACCAGCGCCACCTCCTCCACCGGGCATCTCTCTTCCTCCTTTGCCGTCGCCGGCGCGCCGCCGGTCTGCTTCTCGCCGGCGGACATATTTGTATTGGGGAACTAATGAAAAGAAGAGAGCTCTGTGTACGGAGTGAGGTGAATTGGGGGGAGGGTTATAAAGAGAGGGCAGAGAATGGAGGACGTGTGCCGGTTTGTGCGGCCCCCACCGGAGCCACGTGCCGGACTTGAAATGATTTCGGTCAAAGGGGATAAAGAGTGTGTCTGCGGGTTTTGGCACGTGCCTTCCACACGCCTAGTAAGAGTTTGCTCTCTAGTCCATACGCTCCCTATGCAATTAAGGAACAATTAAGTTTACAAAAAAAAAAATTAGTCCATCTGTGAGAGCTTTCAAACCCGACTGGACGTATATTGAGAAAAAATAAATTAGATTTTTTTTTTGAAATCAATAAATTAGATTTTAATCGTAGATTAGTGATATAAAGTATAACCTACATTTAATACTTGTAAAAGTCATATACTTAATGTTGATTTTTAAATATTAACATTGGAAAATATTTTTTGAAAAAAAAAACCTTCCTATCAAACAATGAAGAAATGTGAGAAATTAATTTTTCATTGAAAATTACATCTACTTAAAAAGTTTTCTAAAATATGTGTGATTTTAATTAATAATTTAAAAATTTACACCACTATTTCGAAAAAGTACGTGTTTATTCTTATATCGATACTCCAAGTTTCCAACATTAAGACAAATTTTATGGTGGATCCAAGATTCACTATAGACTTACATATGAACAAAAATAAGTATTTTTTTATTACTTAAATAAGTATCTATTTTTTTTAAAAAAAATATTTTGTAAAGAATGCTTTTTTATGTGAAATGTGTACAAAAATTATATGCATCTAAGGTGCACCATAGAAGAACTCGCCAACTAAATTATAAATACATGGCACTTAGAATCTTAGATGATCATCGGATAACTATTAAGAATGGGTAACTATAATACGGACTAAGGACTGTAAGGAGTATAAAATTAAATAAAGAAACTTCGTAATATGCGTTAGAACTAGACTCCTCCCCAATTCAAAACTGTTTATATTTTAATCGGATAAAATCAAAATAAGTGTGTCAAACAATTATTTGGAGTTTTCAATAACTTTTGTTTGCATACACACACACATATATATGCATGCATCATTTGTTTTGTATAATTTTTGATATAGTTTTTAGATACTAAATTTTTTTTCTTTTTACATCTATAGCAATTTGTAAATAAAAACATGAAAAGAGCTTTGTACCTTATTCAAAAAGGCACCATAAATTGGGGAAGGATGGAGTGATATTATATTACTCTCTCTGTCCCTAAATATTTGCTACACTTGTATTCTCAAGGCAAAATATCAAGTTTTTTCAATTCATTTCATTTATATATTGGTATGGAAATAAAAAATAAAATTTACATATCAAAAAATTAAATGAAAAGTTTTTCGAAATAATATGTGTCAAGAATATTTTATTTTATCAAATAACCAATGAAAACGTAAAAGTAAACAAAAGTTCTCGCGATTGCTGAAAAAACAAATGTTGTGAATATTTTGGGATTGATGAAAATATTTACATCGACCCTACATATTTGATATTTCTCTTTATTCCACGTTTATCCAATTATTGACAACGACAACAAGATTTTTTTTTAAGTGGCTCAACCAACTACCTAGATAGCCTGTTTGGGAATAGCTTTAGCTATTAGAGTTAGCGTTTTGAAAAGGCTATCTACGGGCAGCATTTAGCGTTAGCGTTTTCAAAGTAATCTGCACCGTTAAAATTTTATCCAAAACGCTAACACTAATCTCTAACGCTATTCCCAAACAGGCCCAGAGCAAGTTGCAAAAAAAGGCCATCGAAACAAAACACAATGAAAGATGCTTTTTGCCGGCCTTAATTATCAGTACGTTTCAGCAATGACAATAGGCCTCACATCTTCCACAAAAATGACAAAAAGAGTTTGGTCACGGGTCACACTTCTGATATAATAACAATACTTATGCCTTATTTTATTCCAAAACAAAAAATGAGCCTTCCTTTCAGATCCCATTAGACGGTTATTGAGAGAAAGAGGAATTTGGATATAATTGAAGATTGGCCATAGAGGTGTCATGCTTAGGATAATTGCCTCCTAATAGAGTTGCAGAAATCGAATTCGAGTCTACCTTCTTGGCTCCCTCTGCCTTTGTCAGCTGCAGAACACCCACCACCACTTAAATTTGTTCCAAGGAATTAAAGAAAGAATTGATGTTTTCTTTTACACTATGTTTGTTTCACAGGATTTGGAAGAAAAAGAATAGAAAACGATTTTCCCAATTTTCTCACCAAAATCAAAAGAATTTGGTTTTCCCTCTTAGTAGAATATTTTATCTTCTTATTTTTTTTGGGTTCCACCTTTCTTTTTCTTTTCTCCCTAACTAATCAAGAAAATTATTATTTTTTTCTTTTTCTCTCAAATTCCTTGAACCAAAAAAAAAAGTTAGCCTCGTAACAAAAAGGAAGGTGGGATTGGGGAAAGGTTTGATATTTCATAGTTAGCTCTTTTAGGATATGTACTTATTAGGTCTAATTTGTAAATAGATCGTATAATTTTGATCTGATTATTTAAATTTGTTGAGAGAACGAGTAGAGACAAAGAAAAATCTATGTGAAAGAAGATCAAGAAAGTTTGAACTTTACATAAAAAATATGGAATGAATTTTTTAACATTAAAAAACTATATTAAAAGATCTACAAAACTAGAAATGACATGACTATATGATTTTATCAAATGAGTGACGAACAAAGTGAATAAAGTTTGACCCTGTGAATAGTGAACGAGAAGTTTATTCGTGAACGGATGGAGTATCTTTCTATAAGTTGCGGGAAACAAGATTGAGAATTTGAGATGTTTTATACACGTGAAATAGAATGTAGAAATAGGGAGAGAGGTAAACCTCTAAAAGATTAGGAAAAAAGATGATTAGGCCACACTTAAGATTTGGAAAATTAAACATACTAAAGACGTACCTTTAGAGAATTTATTGTTGCAATCCAAACCTGATTTTCAATGGATAATAATGGTTCTTTAAATATAGGGTTCTAGGTTATGGGTTGCTATTTTGTACATTAGTTTGGGCACAAAAATTTACTCGTATAAACGTTCTGAAATTTTCAGAGCTTACCAATTTAATTCCTCTAGATGGATTTACTCCGTAATACTCTCTTCGTCCAAAAACTATTTTTCGGTTGTGCGTTACGATGTTTGATTGAGGATACTTTTTAAAATATTTTATATGAAAAATTGTATAAAATTAAAAAAAATAAAATTTACATATTTAAAAAACTATATCAAAAGATCTACAAAATATTGAGGTGATAAGACTATATTATTTTATCAAATATGCAACGAAAATAGGCCAATAAAGTAGGAAAAAAAGTTTGACCCCGTGAATAGTAAACGAGAAGATAATTTTTGGACGGATGAAGTATATTTTGTTGTAAAATAGTTGCTTGTTTTTGTTCCTATAATTTTTTTTATTGAAATCATTCTTACAAAATTTTATATTTTGAAAATAGTCTTTAAATGTAATTAGTACTTCTAATTAGTTGAGATAACAAATTTATTATTTCCTACTCAACATCTTAATCTCGCATTTTCTAATTAACTCCGGCACGAATCTCATGTCCTAAATTGTGTAATTTGACGATTAGATTAATTTGACAATTAGGGATGTAATTTGATGAATGACTCAATTCAGGATTTGAGAATTGTGTCTGAGATAAATAAAAAATTAAGATTAGGATATTGACTATTGAATATAAAATAAGTGTAATTATGTTAATAAATTAGAAGTCGCACTCACGTTTAAGAACAATCTTCAAAATAAGTTTTTTTTGTAAAGATGACGTAAACAAAAAAATTATGGAAACAAAAATATCTTATTGGAACAAAAATATATTTTACCCTTTCTAGAATTATTGGAAGACTTTTCCAAGCCATGGGCTCACGGCCCATTTATTAAACATAACTTCTTTTCGCTAAGGGGCTAAATAAATTTCAAGCCTTGAACATTTCTCCAAGCCCGATTAGAAAATGAACTACGAAAAGCTTTTGGTTTGGACGAGTAGCCCGGCCCATGTTCGCCTCTGTGCAAGCTTCATTGAACAGTATTGGGCAGCTTAGGGTCCCACATTCGACATTTTTATACTGAAGCGACCCAAATCCAATCCTTTTTTTTACGCCACCCCCTCCAACGGTCTTCTCTGCATCAACTTAGAACCTTATCAAGACGGTTTTTAAAAAAATTTTTAGATAGTGTTTGACAACTATCATTTCATTTCATGAATTTTTTTATTTCTAAAATTTGAAATTTGAATTTCAAATAACAAAGGGATGCGCATGTATTTCAAATTAAACTTTGTTATGAATGAGAATAATTTGATCCAAATCCAAATTTAAAATTTTTAAGTTTCTCAAGCATAGAGTTTGAGTCAAATCCAGATTTGAAATCCAAATCCATGTTCCCAAACATACTATTTGGTGCGTGTTTTTTTTTCTTTTCGAATTTGGTATTGGGAGTATTTTGCAGGAGTATATTTGTAATGGTAGGGGATGAAGATATACAAGAGTTCTGTGACCGATTTATTCACAACATGGCATTAATTTTTTTTAGGGTATATCCATCTTTGACCAATTTACCCTCTAAATGCCATCAATTTTTGAAAAGAAAACATATTGGCATACCCATCCGGATTATTGATAGATACTACCTCCACTTTTGGCTTTTTCGGCCAACCATTTCCCACCTTTGACTTATACTTAAATAAAATATATATTATATATTAATTAGATAAAATAATATTTTGAAGATATTTGATATAATCAAACTATTCTTGTATCAATATCTAATATCATTTTTATTTAATTTGAGGTCAAAGTTTACCAATTTTGACTCAAAAAAGTCAAAAGTGGGCAAATACTCAAGAACGGAGGGAGTAGAATAATTGCTATCACTCTGTCATATATCTCCTGGTTGAAGCAGCCTTTTATACTTGGTCAAATAGATTAGCAATAACAGTAGAACATCAAATTATTGCAAAACGGGCAGAGATTAAGGGGATTTTGCACGCTCTTATCTCCCCCTTTGTTTTTCCTGTGTTCTTATGGTGTTGGTTAGGATGAGTAGATAATTAGTTATCTTTATACACTAGCCACTTTGTGTTTTGGGGGATTTTATGGGGGGCCAATGTGCTTATTATGAACATTTTGGTATCAAACATGTGAAAATCTTATTGAAATGCCAATGAGAGGAATGTTGGTTTGTTTTAAGTAAAGTAGTTGTATATATTTATAGGATCATGCTACTTTGACATTATTAGTGTCTTGTATACAATAATTTTCCACAATAATTACTGTTGTGCAAAAAAAATAGCTTGATGTCAGACATTGGAATTATAGTAATATTATTATTATTTTTAAAGACACATCGATGTTATTTTCATAAATAATAATATTAGAACCACTTTCTAAGTGTAAGATCCTCTAATTCAGCCATCATAAACATTTTTAAAATCTTAAGTCTTAACTAAACAAATTAACTGAAGTAAAATAAAAATGCATATTTATATATGCATTTGGATAAGAAGCATGTGATTATGCTTATGTGAGAAGTCACTTTGAGTAATTCAAAGAGAAGCACTTTAGTATGGGAGGGATTCTAAAACCACTCATTTTGAGTGGCTCCGTATGATTATATTCATATGATATTATTATATCATAGTTTTAAGAATTGGACAGACGACCAAACCGATCCAGGTACTGGTTCACTAGTTGAACCAGTCGTTTAAACAATATATATATATATATATATATATATTAAAACTTTATGAAATTGAATTAAAATTCTAATCACTTTAAGTTATTTTGTTAGTCAATTTATATTTAAAATAAAATTTACATATAGAGAAGTACATTAAAAGTCTTATAAAATAATGATGTTTTATTTTTCTTTATATATTTTGTCTAATATTTTAAAATATTAAAATGATTTTTTTTTCGCCCCACATACTCCGTATTTGAATTATTTCTATTTTTAAATGTTAAGAATCCTAGGATATAAAGAAATTTTTTTAATACTCCCTCCGTCCCAAAAAGTCTTTCCTGTTTAATTTTTTGCGCATCCCATAAAATACTTCTACCGACATCTAAAATGCATAAAATTTATAACATTTTTTCTTTATTGTGGGTAGAAGTTATTTTGAAAGTTTTTTTGGCATTCAAGGTGGGATATAAGTGTTTTAAGGGATGCGCAAAAAATGAAACAGGAAAGACTTTTTGGGACGGAAGGAGACTAGTAATTAGTGTTTCATCATTTCGTGTTCTCCAAGGAGATGAAAGTCTAATTATTACTAGTGGTGTTGAAGTTTCCAGAGACATAACAATGGGGACTTCTCTGTTCTTGAACACCTGCGGCTGTTTCTCCTCCACAAATCGCTATAACCTTATTACCATTAATCCTTTCCGGACTTTTCTCCCCCACTCTTCTTCTTCTTTTTCTTATTCTTCTTACAGGAAAAGAGTATATGCAAATGGGTCTGGGGAAGCAGAACAAGAAAGTAAGAGAAAGGGGTTCGATTTGAGGAGAAGATCACTTCTGGTTTCTGGGTTTTCTTCTGCTTTACTGCTTGGGTTTAGTGAACAGGCTTTGGCTGTTGTGAAACAAGGTCTCCTTGCTGGGAGGGTTCCTGGCCTCTCTGAACCAGATGAACAAGGTTCCATCAGTCAATTCAACCCAAATTCATCACTTTTTTCTCTCTAAATTTTAGGTTTAGGACATAAGCGTATCTGATTGCTTTGTGATGTGAATTTCAGAAATTTTATGATGAGTTTTTTTGTTGTTGTTGAGGAAATAATTACTCTATACAATTCAATTGACACCTGAGATGAAATGCCAGTGTTGAATCAAATATAAATAGAGAATCATAATTCATACAAACTTCCTTGGGAAAATCCCTATTTCAAGTCTGCCCTTTACTAAAAGAATTGAAAGGAAAAAAAATAATCACTTGATTTCATACCTTTTTTTTCTTCTTTTTATTGTTGTTTTCGATGTGTTAGTGAGTTTACAGATAGCTGTTCATTGAGGAAAAAGAAAATATATGCTGCGACAGGTTGGAGGACTTATCGTAGACCAGATGACAAGTCTGGAGGGCATGGCATAGGATGGAGTCCGATCATCCCTTACACATTTGCAGTGCCTCAAGATTGGGAAGAAGTAATATGATCATCTGCTTCTTCTTCTTCTTCTTTAGGTTTTTAACCATATTCATCTTTGCTATGTTTTGATGTGGCATGAAATATGTAGGTTCCGGTATCGATTGCAGATCTTGGTGGCACAGAGATTGACTTGAGATTCGCAAGTGGAAAGGAAGGTCGCTTGTCTGTGATTGTCGCTCCTGTTTTGAGATTCGCAGACGGTATGCCCTAAACTATACGGCTAAGGGTAGGGATCACTAATCTGGGCCATAAGACACTTGGACTGAAGCACATTTAAAGATTTAATTCAATTGATTGATTATTAGTTCAACTCAAGAGTTTATATACCCATTAATTTTCAGATTTTGGAGATGATGCTACAATCGAAAAAATTGGAACGCCAGAAAAAGTGATAAGTGCATTTGGGCCGGAAGTCACGGGGGAGAATGTAGAAGGAAAGGTTATAAGCACAAGTGTTACTGAAAACGCGGGGAGAAAATATTACCACTTTGAATTGGAGCCTCCTCATGTTCTCATCACTACAACTGCTGCTGGAAATCGTCTCTACTTGTTTAGTGTGACCGGAAGTGGTGTGGCTTAAACTCTGGTTTTGCATCCCAAAATGAAGTACAAAAGAAGGTTGAAACATAACTTGTAGTAGTTCATGTTGTTTTGTAGGTCTTCAATGGAAGAGGCACTACAAGGATTTAAAGAAGATAGCTGATTCTTTTCGTGTTGTCTAGTTCAATTTTTCATATAGAGGTAATGTATCTTTACGTAATGTATCTTCAAACTAGAGAGAATAGTGAGATCACTTTAGAAATATTTATGGAAAATCGTTCAAACATAAGATTATTAGCGATGGGGTTTTCCATAGTTTTGGCCAAAGATATTGTGGAGTGTTTCTCTGTGATGGTACTGATTAGCTTATAGTTGATAAGTAGTTTTTAACTAATAAACTATTTATAAATTAAATATTCTTTTGTGGAAGTAAAACAACTTAAATAAAAGGATTATAGTAAATACTCATTGTGAGTGTCTCTACATAAAATACAGATTATATTAAATACTCATTGTGAGTGTCTAAATTGGTCAAAATTATTTATAAGATGTTTTTAACTTATAATTCAGCTTATCACTTTTTTTGTGCTTATAAGCTGACTTATAAAGTGCTTATAAGTCAATGAATTGATTAGCTTATTACTGATTATCTTATTGCTGCTTTTATTAAATATTCTTTTGTGGAAGTAAAATGACTTAAATGAGGCAAATATATATTTCTAAATTTGAGGCAGATATATATTTCAAAATATATCCATTGTCATACTTCATAACCTGTTATGAGGCAAATATGCATTTTAAAATTTGATGTTCTACTGTTATTGCTAAGATATCATTATAAAAAATCGTAAATAACATTTTTACCTTCTTATTGACACCCTCACTTTTAACTATACTTTTCACGACCTCGTCCATTTTCTTTAGGTCGTATTGATCATATTGCGTCTTAGTCAACTCAAAGAGTGGTTGCTTGTAGCTCACATCAAGCTGCTACTCTACTATGTGTACATTGTCATTCCCTTGATGCGCGGCCTCACTTCCTGCAACACTTGGATACTTGGATTCCCTATATTATCAAACACACTACCTTTCTGAGTTAGTGTTAGCAACACGAATGCAGGACAATCATCTTTAAAGTCTCCCGGTATTTTTTTTCATCTCTTCCATTTTTGTCATGATTATTGTTGTTCAATTGATTGCCAATGGTGTCTACCTCTTAATCCATCTTCTTCTTAATTTCTTCTCCATATTGAGACATTTTATCAAGTTCTTCCTCCGTTTTTTTCTCTATATCATGTGGCTCAAGGAGTTCTAAAATCTTTTTAATTAACACCTCTTGACGATTTTCTCTCCTAAAAATGTGGAGGAGTCCCTTGAAAGCAGTAACCCCAAAACGACAAAAGCAAATACATGTAAGAAAAGAAATGTGGATTTTGGAGAAAGTGGATAGTGCAGGCAGTGGATCTAAGGATTTACCGAGAGTGCTAAAGGAGATCAAGGAGACACATAATCGTCAAGGGGTGTTAATTAAAAGGATTTTGAAACTCCTTGAGCCACAGAATGTAGAGAATAAGGAAGAAGTTGATAAAATGACTGAATCTAGAGAGGAAATTAAGAAGAAGATGAAACCAGAGGTAGACACCTTTGGCAATCAGGTGAAAAGCAATTATGGTGCCAGAAATGAAAAAGATGACAAAAATGTAGATCTGGGAGGCTTTAAAGATGATCGTCCTACATTCTTGTTGTTAACACCAAGTCAGAAAGGTATTATATCTAAAGACATGGGGAATCCAAGTGTTGAAGAAAGTGAGGCAGTGCATCCAGGGAATTCAGTGTACATGTAATAAAGAAGCAGTTCGATGTGGGTTACAAGCATCGGCCAATCTTTGTTTGAGTTAACAGAGTCGTAGTATGATATGGAAGACCTAAAGAAAATGGACGAGGTCCTAGAAAGTATAGTTAATAGTGGGAGTGTCAATAAAAAGGTAAAATGTTATTTTTTATTTTCTTTCAATGATATCTTACCAATAGTAACTGAACATTAAGTTTTAAAATATATATTTAACTCATAACAGGTTATGAAGTATGGCAGTGTACATTAGTATGAGGAAGGCAATAATGAAACAATGGAGAGTGCACCACCAAAAGAAAAAGGTCATGAAATAGCCAAGCAAAGTTTCAATTAAAATGAAGAAAAAGCAACCACAGAAACTGCTACGATAGTTAGAACTCTATACAATGCACTGTTGTAATACACTAACTTTTTCTTTTGTGTTAGCTATGCACTGCTATGGAAGAGGTGTCATGCGTGGAGGTCGAAAAACCAAAGAGAAAGCTGAAATGTCCTAACAAGTTCACACCAGAAAAAATAGAGAAAACGAGAATGAAGATGGAAAAAGATATGGGGATGTTGTATGGGCCGTACTCATTGGAGCCAAAGAAAATGCCTCCACAAGAAGAGGTGGCGAATTATTTAAGACGGGTCTTTTGAAGATAAAAGCAAAGACACATGACAAGTATAAAAAGAATTTTAAAAACATGGGACACAACTCTTTAAACCTTGAAGGGTTCAAGGGCAAAAGCAAGGCACGACTTTATGAACTGTTTGTGGATGGAGAGTGGCTGCGTAGCACGGTAAAATCTATAGTTATGATTTTATACTCATTATATGTATGTGTTAAGAAATGCTTCCATTACACTGCGCCACTGAATGGCAGTTTATTGTCAAAAAGTAACAATGAGTTATTATTTTGGTAGCATGATGTTGGGGTAACAATGTACTTCTTGGAGTTAAAAAGGGTCTAATTCAAGCTATCGTAGACCTATGCCACTATTTATTTATTTATTTTTTTCCTTTTTCATGCACGTACTAAAAGAACATTATGAGGATGTGCAAAAGGGTCGAGCGACTGAAGAGAATAGAATATGGTTAGTAATGATTCATTGGTGGGCGAAATAATATGATATGAGGCCTTAGCTTATAGTGTACATGCCAGTAAATATTGGGAGTCATTGGATGTTATAATTGTGTAATATGTAGTACGAACTGTGGTATGTTCATAATAAAGTTTGTTGAATGCTTAATGATGCATGGCCCATAATGAGAAAAAGCATATGTTTGTGGGCAATGGATGACCATTTTGAATTTACTCCTTCACATTCTCCCTGTAAATCTTGAGATTTTTTTAATAAACACAATCTTGTTTATCATTCGTATAACATTCTGGCTTATAAACCCTTTTTGTTTATACTCATTTTATAAGCTTTTAACAACACTGTCAAGTATCATCAACTTATACTTTCAACCCAACAATGTAAATGATCTTTTTAAAACGATGCATGTTCATAATAAAAACCAGAATTGTTACGTTATTTAAAATGAATAAATTTAAACGTCATCGTTTGGCAATGGCACTTGCCCAACAATAATGCCAATTTCACAATTAAAGTAGACAAACTTTCACATTGCCAAATCATCACTCAATTCCATAACTAAAAGAGACAATCAAGGCCAACAATAATGCTAGTTCTATCATTAAAGAAGACAATCAATACCAACAATAATGACATTTTCATAATTAAAGGAGACAGTCGATGCCAACAAGATCTTGTCATTTTCTTGGCATTAGCAGTACGTACTGTTGGCATTGATTCTCCTTTTATTATGGAATTGGCGTGTTGCCAATCCATAATAAAAGGAGACAATCAATGCCAAGAAAATGTCAAAAATAGAGTGACAAAAATGCGAAAAACAAATCAGAATGGTTGTTCCATGTTTCATATTATCAACAAGAACAGAAAAAGGTAAAACACATCATCTATATTGTATCTTATCAAACATGATGTAACTTGAAGTGACAAGACAATATTATCAACATTGAAAAAAAAAGAGATGTGTGTGTTATAGGACATAGAACTATATGTAAACATTAGAGAGAATGGGTGTGGTGCGGAAAAAACATGGGATGCGTGCATGTCTTGATATTATATATACCTAACATTGTGACACCGTGAACATGCCTGCTTCGTACGACCCTTCTGTTTCTGGAATTCACCTTTGAGCATGTTGAAGGGAGGCAAAATTCTGATGCAATTGAATGAAGGACTACTCATCACCTATAGGGTGGACAATGCCATCATAAGTGTCAAGCAATGCAGCTCGTCTGTAAAATGGAGATATGAAATTGTGACATGAGAGCGTGTGGCGAGATGAAATAGCTGCAACAGCATGTACGCATACAAAACGATCAAGCTAAAATTCAGCACTTGTGCATGACTTGTCCATGGGGTTCACAATAAAAGAGCAACACCACAAATCAATGATCTCAAACTCATACACACATGATGGTTTCACCTTTGAAAGAAGAAAAGATAGTGTTAATAAAAAAGACTAAAAGTTCCAAAAGTTCAATTAGAAATCAACAGTGTAATTGAATACCTTCATCCTTAATGCATCGCAATAAAAATAGGTTGAGACCTTAATTACCAATTCTCAAAGCCACACAACATTAATTAAATTAAATTTATTTAAATGTTTTATAAAAACGGGGGAAGTATAAAAGAAAGCATCATAAATAGGAGAAAACATATAAAAAAGAGTTGTTCTTCTGTGGTCTTAAGATCCACATGTAAATATGAACCTTCTTGCATTTTTATGGACTGGCTATTGGATCTTTTTTAACAAAAGGCTATATTCTTTTATAATATCAATGCACTAAGATCCATAAAATGAGCATTGACCTAAGAACCACATAAAAATTTGCCTAGAGAAAAAACTAAAATAGGAGTTCCATGTTTTTATCTCCAAAGTATGAATTTGCATTGTGATAATATAATGTAGCACTGTATAAGGATATTTCACAATACTTTTTTGTATTATTCGCATTATACATGCATTTTTAACTCTTTTTTGAGAATAAAAATATGAAATTCTTGTTTTACTACTTTAATCATTTTCCCTTTAAGAAACGTACTTACATATTAAATGTCTATTATAGATTTTCATATACATTAAAAAATGAATGTAGGCATAAAATATGTTTATACTTATTTATCTTTAAATATATCTAAAAAGTCATAATTGACAATGAGAAATGGGAAATGGGGGGAGTAATTAGTAATTAATAATCTCATGGAGTTGTGTTCAAGCAATGTTCTCCATTTAATGAAAACATAATTAGTACTCCCTTCATTCGCCAAAACAATTCATATTTTGACTCATGAGAGAACTAAAGAGTGTATATTTGTAGTTGACTTTCCAATTTTATTCTTGATGTGATAGGTAAATTTAGATGTGATGATAGATTATTAATGAAAAAGTATGATGTGATAGATAAGGTAAAAAAAAGTTAGGGCAAAATTGATGGGTCGAGGGGTTTAAGAGATTAAGAAAGGTAAAAACTGTCAATTTTACGAACGATCGAATGCGTATTTGAGGTTGTGGGGCATGGCAAGGTCACCTTTAGTGAGTGAGAGTTGTCCGGTGGAGGGAAACTTCTTAACCTCCGTGTCCTCATTTTGCGGGTGGCGGTCATCACCGGTGTACCTCTTCCCGGTGTTCATGTTAATAACCTTCTATATATCTCTCACACACTCACACCAAGTGGTGCATATATGTCTAGTTGGTTTAATTATACAAAAATATATAGAGTGGAATTACCCAATCTAAAAGTTAACCATATACTCTTAATTCAAACCAGATTCTTAATTAAAGACTTTGTGGTCCAATGGTACGAAGGTGATTCTTCCAAAAAGGAAGTCGCAGGTTTAATGCCTAGTAGAGGCAGTGGAGGTGATATCTTGCTGCTTCAATAGATTGACAAAATATACGTAAACAGAGAGTATGCTTCCGTGATCTTAAGATCCACATGTAAAATATGAATCTTCTCATATTTTTTATTAGCTATCAAGTAGATCTTTTTTGAAAAGCCCAAATCTTTCATGGCATTTATATAATAAGGTCCATAAAATGAGTGTGCACCTAAACACTACGTAAGAATTTGCCATAAATGGGTTGTTCTTCCGTGATCCTAAAATTTGGCCTCAATTCCTTTATGATATCAATACACTAACATCTATAAAATGAGCACGGACCATAGACCACATTTGAATTTGCCATGTACGTAATTTAAAAATTGTGCTCCTTCCATCCCAATTTAAATCAGTTGTTGTTCTTTATGAAGGTTGAGTAAGTTATTTTCAATTTAATTTATTTGAAAAATGGTATGGACCTAAAAAATAAAGTTCATATATTTGAAAACTACGTCAAAAATTTTTCAAAACAAAAGGTGACAAGACTACATTATTTTCTCAGATTGATAGCAAAAATGGGTAAAAAAACGTAGTTATATTTAACGATGTAATTAGTAAACAATACCAAAAAAACTGAATTGTACCAAAGTCATTTAATGATAGGTTCTGTATTTAAGAACGGTAAGAGGTAATTTCTCATCCCGAGATTCCAGAACCGAAGATTGATACTAAAATACTATAAATGTAATATTCTTTTTTTACATCTATTCATTAAATAATAAGATTATTTAATATTTTTGTTCTAGTTTTATTATGTGTACATTGTTCTTTTATTCAAGTTTTAAGTTTTTGTGGATGAATTACGAATATTTACAAGCATTTGGAATGCTATTTTGTTATCATTCATTTTCTTTAATTTGTGAAATATAAACTAAGTTTCATAAGCCTTTCTTGAATTTAATTATTCATTTCCAGTTTTTTTTATGTTTCTTTATTTAAATGCACTTTTTACTTTTGAAAAATAAAGGGTTTTATTACATCTTTAATTATAAATCAGGTACATATGTATATATATCGATTTGTACTGAAGCTGATACTGAACCATCTTGAACCATTCCGAATCAAAATTTTGGGATCGAGATCGATGCAACGTAAAATCATATACCGAATCAAAATATTTAGTACGATGTCAGTACAAGCTAAATATTGTACCATACTCACCAAGGAAGTACAAAACATACCCCTTCAAATAAATTTTTTTTAAAAAATGTAGTCAACAAAGAGCTCATTCCAGCAAAATGTAGTCAACAAAGAGCTATCTCTCAAGTCTCCAAAAAATTTAGCGAAGTTTCTGGATTTTGCTTTAGATTAATGGTGACAACCAAAATTTTGCTTTAGATTAATGAATAAAGCTAGCTGTCAATTTTTAATTATAATAAGTGTTCATCAACATATTTAAGAATTACTTATCGAATTTTAAGTCCACCATATGACCATAGAATTTGCCTTGATAATTTACATTGACATAAATATTCAGGCATATAAAAAATTTGACACTGACATCAATGCAAAGTTAATTTCTGACTAGCGTGCTTCTAGATTGATTTCTGACTAAATTCCTTCTTTTTGTATCTTAACTGAATAACATCGAGCAAATTCTCTCTTTCATACTCTATTTGTCTTAAAGTATTTTATATTAGTACAAAACGAAGCAAATTTTTAAATTTTTTAAATTCATTTTATTTAAAGATTGGTATGAAAACTAAATATAATGCTTACATATTTAAAAATTACGTCAAACATTCTACAAAACATGTCACAAAACATCTTATCTTATCAAATAATCAATCAAAATGCACAACTAATAAAAAAAATTATGTAACTTTTGAATAATGAAAAGTGTAAATTTTTTAAGGTATTTTTAAACCTAGTCCGTCCCATGCTTGAATCCAAGGAAATATTATAAAACATGGTTTCAATGAATATGTTAGGACTCGTCAGGAATATTTAGCGAAATAGATCCATTCTATTGTTAATAGAGTATTTAGGCCTAAATTTCCAAAAACTCGTACAATTCGATAGGAGTATTACTGTATTAGCCCTTAATCCAAGAAAGACTTTACATACATTCACCTCTTCATACTATTTACAATCCACTCCTTGCTACGGGCTTCAAGTTATCTGATGGGTTCTGATCTGATTCAATTAAGTTCTGATCTAATCTAACTGTAGTCATACTTAAAACTATTTCTGGCCTGATTCCAATAACAAGTACTTCCTCCGTCCCGAAAAGATTGTCATGGTTTGACTTTTTTGGTCAAACTGTGACACCCTTTGACCGCGAATTATGGAAAACGTATATTTAGTTGTAATGTAAGATTAGTAATATTAGGTTTATTTTAAACTATATTTAATTCGTGGTCAAATGGTGTCACAGTTTGACCAAAAAAGTCAAAATGTGTCAATCTTCTAAGGACAGATGGAGTAATAAATAAAAAGAATAAATTAAAGAGAATAAGCTCTATATTAATGAGTATCTTTTTATGAAGAAAAATTCATTAGGAAAGGAATAAGAAGTTGTTGGAAACACGAGAGGGGTAGACCCGTTGCATTGCAGCCTGAAATTAGTGAAATATGCACTAAATTTACTTCGATTTTTTTCTGTTTGAACTCTGGCTTGCTCGTTCTAGTGAAACAAATTCAATTTCCAAACACACCATTACCTAAAAACCAAGGGAAAGACTTACAGTAGACCATCAAAATTGTGAATTACTAAGGAATGCCACCATGCATCTGCTACTCTGGAACAACTTGTCCACTCTCCGCCAAACGCCCGACTGGATTTCTAGAAGCTTCTGAGCCTTTTCCTGCAGCTTCGGCTGCTGCCTGATTGCTTCACCATGAATCTGGCCGTCATGACACACATAGATTACACAAAAGTTATATGACCTTGTGATTATTATTCCTATGAAATGGTGAATAAAGATTAAAATCATGCCATTTTTGGAATGGTCGGGTTGATTAATTCCCGGTAACTTTTAAAAATTGAAAACAAGCGAGAAAGCCTGTCTAAGATAAACACGGCTTCTGCCATGAAGATATTGAAGAGTTTGTAGTTGTGTACCTTCAAAAACAGTCTAATGAGAGCCTGCACAAACTCAAAGTTGTTCCTGCATGTGGTCTCGTGTATGAAGTAATCCAGAAGCAATTCAATGAAGTACAATTCCTGTCTGTCCATCACAATATCTTGATCATCGTCGTCGTCGATAAGTTGAAGCACTCGCATTTCCATGTCCAGTGCTGATGGGGACACGCTTTTAATATAATCAGTGAATGCTTCAACTGCAACAAGCATTTAAAAAAATCAATATGTAAGGCCTAAGCTGATATTTTTAGACCACAAACATTTCACATATAAATGTGCCATGCAGTGGAAACCTGGTCAAGCAGTACGAACGGGTTTTAGAGTACATTTCCCGTCCCTTTTATCATATGTATTATATCTACATCACTACAAACATTATTCCGCATCCCTTCTTTAATGATTGTCTATTAACTAACTAAAGGCATTCTGTTCACAAATAAATGTCCATTTAGCAAATCAATCTAGTCAAATGACAAAATTATACTCCTGTATTATTTCACTTGATTTTCAAAACCTAGAAATAAACAGGAGTACGTCAATTAATGACATTTAATATTTGGAAAGAACAGGACAAAGCATATAATATAACCATGAATCTTACAATTTTGACTCTCCGCAGATGACTGGAGGACATGCAAGAATTTAGAGACAGGAAGATTCGGTTTTCTCCGGTTCTCTCCCTTTTCGCCATCTTGTGAATTCTTCTCATCGCCAACTTCTTCACTGGGTTTAAATAAAATTTCACCAGAGAGGGAGGGAATTGAAGGTAAGAAGAAAGGAGCTTTCTCCGGTTTCTTCGGAGGCTCAATCGGTTTGTTCCGCTCCTTTATTATGTCTAAATTGATCAAACTCTGCCACTGACTCTTTGGCAATAGTGAGAGCGTGACTAGACCTGGAATTTGCTGCTCCAAAGTAGGTACAATTTGAGAAGAATCAAGAACCTCTTGAGGCTTTATTACAGTGGCTTTGTCATCATTATCTTGAAGAGTTTCTTCTGATGAAACTGATGGCATCTTCACACTCACAATTTCTTTCCCACTTCCATAAGATTCAAAATTAGAAGCACTGGAGAACATGGCCTGATTGACCCATAGATAGATACCGTTTTGATCAACATGTGTGGTGGCTAGGACATCCATGTTAGGCGATAGAGATAAAGCAGTTATAGAGATATCAACTTGTATGGCATCAATCTGTCTAGCTAAAATAACATCCCAAATTCTAAGAGTCTCATCCATGCTAGAGGTCAATAGCCATTTCCCGTCCTCACTAAAGCACATGTCTGTAATGCGATCTGCATGCCCCTGAAATTTTCTAACCATCCTCAATGCGACAGCATCAAACACACGGATAACTAAGTCATCTGCCGCAGTCGCTAAAAGACCATTGGATCGATGATAAACAATCTTTACTAGAGAGCAGTCAATGTCCAATCTAGACTTCAACCCCTTCCCTTTGAAGTCCCATATTTTCACATCCCCGTGGTATCCTGCACTTATCATAAGGGTATTTGTGGAATCACAGGCTATGCCAATCACTTCTCCATCATGAGCATAATGATTTTTCCCTTGCAAAATGGTGTCGCCATAACTGCCACGACTGATTCCAGATTGAAGATTAAATCGCTCAATCCAACCACCTGATGTCCCTATAACTGCAAAATTGCCACATGCACTTATGGCGCATGCTTTGACTGGTGTTGGATTTTCCGGGCACGGACTAAGGATATGTTCCCCAAGGACAAAATTTTGAAGCCTCCATACATATGCTTTAGCGGTGTCCATGTGACACGTAACAACATTGCACCAATCACGTTCCCTAATTTCAGCAACATCAAATGCAATAACAGGCTTTAATTTTATATCCTCCTCCTTCAGCTTGAGTTTTTTTGCTCTTTTAGACACATTTTTCTGAGAGAGCTCTCTGCTCTGCTGGTCTTGAACAACAGAGAAGAGACGGAAGGCTCGATCTTGACCAGCAGATAGAATGTGTCGCCCATTGGCATAGTACTTGATACACGAAGGGGGAGCACTGTGACCACTTCTGAAACGCAGTAAACGGGGGTCACCATCAGTTGTGTCAAAAATCCACATTTTTATTGAATTATCAGATGATGAACTCAGAAGCACGGGCTCGTTAGCAAAAAAATGAAGAGAGATTACAGAGCAATCATGGGCCTCCCTGATTACAGACTGTAACCTTCTCTTCTCAAGATTCCATATACTAATCACACCAGATGAGCCTCCAGATGCTAAAAGGGGTTGCCCGTCAGTGCTAAAAGATAATGAAGTAACAGCACCCCAGGCAGAATGAGTAAATGTAACGACTTCTTTGTCATATCGAATATTATGAACATGAATTTTTCCATCAGCACAACCCACAGCAACAACGTCTAGCGCTGGAGATGAAATGCAGCAATTTATAGAAGACTTCCACCTAGTGAACTCATACAGTTTTTTATTTGTGCTAATGTTCCAAAGTTCCAGTGTACCTTCTTGACTTCCAACAATGACCTATTTCAGAATTGATTGTTGAGCAACCAGAAATCAATTCAACACTAGTAGATTATGAAGTATGTTATTTAATGCATCACGTTCGATGTTTTAAAAAACAGAATAGCACAATGTAGAACATAACCTACAATACCTTATTTAAATATGTATCTGGATGCATTATGCAGCTTGGCGTGAAATTATCTCCTAGCGAAATGTGTCCAACGGGAGCAAGGTTTTCACTTATTCCTTTGAAGTTCCATGTGAAGATATTTCCTTCAACATCAACACTTAATATGTGGTCACCGAAAAGTAGCAAATGGTTAACCTTAGCAGTGTGCCTGCTCCAAGTAGCCACCTACCCACCAAAAGTTGATTTCATTTTTACTTTTAACTATATTGAGAATCATAAGGTAAAGGGATGCAGTGTAGTGTCCTTCATCAAGATTACAGGAAATATGCTAGAAAAATAGATTATGTAGCTTATCAAAGAGAAAGAATATGTAAAGCCTAAATATAAGACCAGAGCATTTCAAATTTCATGAAAAAAGAAATGGTTAGTCCCGGACCTGATGAGCACGCTTCACAACTGCAATATCATTTCCATAGGCAGCAAAAGTGTAGTCTCGGTAAGAAGCAAGAGCTCTTATCTTCTTTGGTAATTGAGGGCCTTCATGAAAATTTAAAATTAAAATCATTACAAATAATGAAATGGCAACACTTGGCCATCCATTTTTAGTGAGACAAAAACCTAGTCACTCATTTGTGAATTGTGATCATGTTGCTTTGGTTAGCAACTTGAATCAAAAATCAAAGAAACATATGTGCAAACACTATTTACACCAAAACCCATGTTAGAAGAAGAAAAACTACACCAGAAGTTTCATTTTAGAACCAGAGGTCAAGATGTTGTGAAGATCTCTCTTCATATCAGCAGTTCAAAGTAATGAAACGAAGATTAGCGTAGATTAAATGTTAAATTGAGTGGTAAATTAATATTAAATTTGCCTAAACTTGGTTTGGTTTAGCTGAGAGGTGGATTTTGTTTAGGATAATTCACTTATGGACACGTTGTAAGCAAATCTTGGTAATTAAAAAGTTATGATCCATTTTTTTGTACGGCATGTCAAAGCCAGTCTTGAAGCTTAGGAATTGTTGAACATTATCCTCAAGCCAATCACACAAATCATTCCCCTAATCCCCTGTAAACCCTTAACTTCTCATTGAATATACTAACACATTCATGGTAATCAAAATCGTGATTTGGTGCACAAAAACGTATGACTCTTTGCGTCCATAGGGAAATTGCAATTTGGATCACTATCAAGATCAGAAATATGGTTGAATTGTCTGGATGGTCATTCAGAAGCGCATAAATGCTTGTATCGTACCGGCTTGATTGATTCATAGGCGTCATTGACGGAATGGAAAATCATATGTTGGATATCCAATTCATCAACTTCCAATTTTAAAAATATATATATGACTCTTCCGAGAATCGGAATTCATCAAAATATATTTGACACTCCTGTGATTCATAGGTTTCACACAATCACAATCACACTTAAACCTCAGTTTCTCAGCCTCTAAAGAGTTCCAAGCAGCCTGCAACAGTGCACCTTAACTGCAAAACCAGTCTCTGGTTCTTTCAACCTGGGCTCTCCATCGTGCTTCTGCTTCTACTCTTAGGGACTCATAGTGTGTCTGTTTTTTATCTTTAATTTCTTTATTATTGAGCCCTTTGTCTCTGCCACACCACTTCTGTTTTACAGCACTCTCCACTTCTAGTCTACTTCATTCTCCATGTATTTTTATCTTTCACTTCACTGTATAGGATTATGTTAAGAAATTATTTAATTTATGATGCGTATGAATCGAGGTGTTATGTTCTTTTGTCAAAACATGTGTTCTATTACTTTTAAATGTGTGCAGGAGGATCTTATGACCGTACCTTAATCTTATGATTTACAGACTTTACTTCTTACTTCGATCCTACATAGAACCTCGAGTTTGACAACCTTGAAAACATTGATTGTGACATTTTACGAGACATCAAAATTTCATAGATTTATGTCAATCAAGACCATTCAGATTTATGTAACTGTTTAGATTACTCCAGACATCCTGATTTCCAAGAGCAGTAAAGGAAAATGAATGTAAGCTGCAAAGATTGAAAATTTCCAAAATGGATAAATAAATGTAATGAAGGGCATACCGACAAGAACCAAATTGAGCTTAGCGCACTGCAAACAAAGTTTCATAAAGAGAAAAATGGTTAGGTTTTCAAAATATGAAAGCTCTGACAAAGTATTTAGACTTCAGGAGTGAAATAAATCTAATCAATGGACACAAAAATCGTACGTTGTAAATCTGGAAAGCCTTGCCAATGCTAACAGTGACAAATGTCTCGGTGCCAAGTCTCTGTACTGAGAATGGAACGTTGGTCGTGATGTATCCAATAGCTCTAAATGGTTCAAAAATCCCCATTATCGTCGACCTGTGTTCTGCTAGCCGCACCAGACAAAGGGTAGTTGGGAGATGATTTGAGCTTATTTATAACAATACAGAAGAATATCTGGGAGATGATTTTGAATTGTTTGGAATGATTTTAGAGGATTTCTAGCTTTTTGGAAGAACAAATTTTCCAGCAACTTCGGAAATCACCGAATCTGTGAGCGCCGATTCGGCTTCTCTGTTCACCAATCTTCTTTCTTTGAGAAATTTGAGCAGCGCCGCAGCTACTAGGGTTTCTCGGTAAACATGTACTCTGTATTTTGTTCAATGGAGGCCGAACAGGAGAGAGGCGCAAGAAGTGAGATGGACGATGAGGGTGACAAGGGAGACGGGCAACTGTGTGCAGGGTTTTAGGGTTTTGTTTTTCAAACTAAAATAGTCCTGTTTTTTTGGATTAAAAAAATTAATTTCTAATTCTTTCTTATTTCTTTTAATTTATTCCATTTTTTTATTAATTTCTTCTAATTTTTTCTAACTTCTTCCAAGAGCTAAATAAAAAATATTTATATATGATGAGTATACGATAACATTATATATTCAAATTTATAACATATATTCAAAATTAAAGAGTTTCTTACATATTTATTCAGGTGATCATTTAACTAAGTGATTTTTTAACACTTTAATTCTTATAACATTTTCTAAATCTCTCCAGTTTTTTGTACTCTTTCCTGTTTCTTCCAATTCTTTCTAATTTCTTCCAGCATCCAATTCTGATATTTTAACTCAAAGGAACAAGGCATAAGAATAGTTATTTTCTAGCGCAATTGCCCCTTGTCAATAATTGAATTTAAGCATTACTCTTTGCACACCTTTTATTTTGCCAACTGAACAGCATTTACCAACGAATAATTTAACTTTATTGTTTAAAAAACACCTTTATTGTCAAAGACCTTGTGGTTCTCCCTCATATGGGAGTTCATATACTCGAATATATGTACCAACAGTAACTTTATGTGTTTAACAAAATGATAGTCTATGAGCATATAACATTGGCTTTGAGCATATAACTTTGTGTTTAGAAAAATGATAGTTTATGAGCATATAACATTGATAGTAATAAAATTATTAGTGTTCAAAAAAGGAGATTCATACCTTTGACATTAGATTTGACTAGTGCATCTACAATACCTCATTTGTAAAATTGACAGTTCATATGCATACTAACCCCCACTTCACTCACCCATCATGACCTAAACCGAACCCCAGCCTCTTCAATGACACTTTCAGAATTTAGTTGGCTTTATAGGGTTTACCGGAGAATTAGGAGCCTAGAAATCATTAATTTTACGAAAGGAACACCGTGAGTACTCCAATCAAACCAATGTCATATTATGACATACTCCCTTCGTTTTTTAAAACAATTCCAATTTTGACCAAGCGTTAAAATAAAAAGTGTTAAATTATAGTTCACTTCTAATTTTACCTTTCATTTGATACTTGGTAGTACGATTATTAGAAAAAAAGTATAATGTGATAGGTATGAGAAAAAAATAGAGGTAAAAATAGATTTTTCATAGAAAGTGAAAATGTTTTCATGACAGAAAAAAATGAAAGAGAAAACATTTTGTTAAATAGAGGGAGTATTATGGCATTTGGCCCTATGTACAAAAGAAGTACGGAGTATTTAGTATACTTAATCACTTAAAAAATAAATAAGTATAAATCGAATTACTTTAAATCTCACTTTTCTTAATACTATTGATAATTTAGAAATAATAGTTAAAATTGGTAGACTTAGGTCTCGTTCCGTTCAACTTATTTTTTCTACTTTTTTCTTATTCTTATTAAAATCAAACCAGACCAGATCAGATTATATCACATCAGATCTAATCAGATCTGATCACATCTCATCAGATCACATTAGATTCAATCAAATTAGGTCCAATCAAGAATTATTATTATTATTATTATGAATTATTATTATTATTAGGAGTTATTATTATTATCATCATTATCATTGTCGTTAAAACTCCGTACTTTTTAAATTACATACTTTTTACTTGTTTTTACTTGATACGATTCTTTAAAAAAAATAAATATAATTTCTTTTCAAAAAATTTAAGAAGAAAGAAATGAAACTTTTGTGCGATTATAATTTATGTAGAGAAAAATAAAATGATATGAAGCACAATTTTTTTCTTAAAAATGAAAAAGAATAAACTTTAGAAATAAATTAAATAGAAAACTGAGAAAGCAATCCTTAATTATTAGACGCCGGAAAAATTATTTTTAAAATACATTAACAATGTCAATCTACTTCTACTTTTAAACTACGGAGTACATTTTTATTACTACCTATAATTTGAGTTTATAAAGTTATTACATTATAAAATATGAATGAAAAAATATTATTACATTATAAATTTGGGATTCAATGAGTGGAATTGAAGAAAATATGAGTGTGTAACATTTTATGCAATGTACCCGGAGTATTATTTATAGCATACAACCTTTTTGTCAAGAACATCTAGCATGTAATATATTATTATACAAGATGCAGAAAAATGAATAATTCCTTTGCTTAACATTGATATTTTATAAGAATGAGATATTTTAATAAAAATAGTATATCTTCTCTATATTTATTATCTAAACTTAATTACTTTTTAATGTATATATGAATTAAAAATTTATTCTAATGTATATATATGAACTAATCATTAAAATATTAAATCAATATTCTTATTACATAAAAAATAATCATAAAATAAAAAATATTATTACATTATAATATGAATGATTATTCTAATATATGAATCAACTAATTTTATTTCATTAAAAAATAATCATAAAATAAAAATATTGATTATATTATAATATGAATTATCATTACAATTTTCAAAAGTTATTATAAAGTGAGATCAAATTTTTTATTTTAATTTTAAATCAAATCATAATTAATCAGTTCAAATCAGATTTAATTAGATCAGATTCAATCAGATCAGATTCGATCAGGTCCAATCAGATCAGATCAGAACTACAAAAAATTAGATCATATCAGAAAAAATAAGTTGAACGGAATGGAGCCTTAATGTGAGTACCTCTTTTTCAATGACACCTCAGCATGAGCAATTAGAAACCTTCCACATTAATTTCAGTACTAAATGAAACAACAAAATAACTATGTTTAGTCGTGCCATGGTAAGAGGGTTTACCGGAAGAGTTAGGGGTAGGAATCATCAATTTTGGAGAGGAGTATCATAGTTGCCCCACCGTGGGAAGGATGCCATGCTAAGTTTCTTCACATCCAATGTTCATGTTTCTTTCAATGGTTGAGACTATAAGTATGGACAAATATTACAATGACGGGTCTCGAAGCTGCTAAAAAATAGATAATTTTGAAATAGATTGTTTCCGCCAAGTTTTATGTCATTCACTTGAAAAAGTTGTGTAATTATTTTTTCATACGTTCATGCAAGGTGTGCATTATTAGATTTAGACCCAGACTGACTCAAAATCCTGTAAAAAATGGATTGGTCCCTTTCCCATATAATCTCTAGTCCTTTAAATTTATTTATTCAGGTTTTGGTCCGGTACATCATGTTTTGATCCAGACCGATTACATTTTTTCTTTTTTTTAAAAAATATCTTTCCCATAAAAGTTTTGAAGATTTTTTTATATTTAATGTTACATTACCTTCAAAATTGAAAAAATTTCATTGATATGTTTTTGTCAAAATTAATTAGAGTAGCTTGTCCAATTTAAAATAAGATATCAAGTAAAGTTCAAATTTAAAACTGAAGTAGAATAAATTTTGTTTAAAGTATGCCTAAGAAAACTGTAAATAGTGATGTTTGATCATGTTTAGTGAATGTTGCACATTAAAAATTAATGATAGTAATATATTTATAAAATTGGACGCTTTAAATAATTAAATGGATAAATTTGAATAAGAATGAAAAAAATACATTTGTTCTTGTCCCGAGCCGATCCTTACCTTATTTCTTTAGATTCTCTAGCCATGAAATACCACTTTTTTGGTTGTGGCCTAGTTCAGATTTGGGTTGATGCACACCTCTATCCAAGTCGGGGACAAATTTACAAACTCATAGTGGTTTATACCTTACATTAAATCATCAATTATCTGTACTAAGAGAGGTGTGTTCAATTTAGATTTTGAGAGATTATTTTAGATTTTTTTTTATAATCAATGGATTTTCATGGATGATATAAAATCTATGGATTGTTTCAATTCTATATAGATTTGAATAGATTTTAATGTATTCTATTACTCCCTCCGTCCTAAAACTTTCTTCTCGTTGCGCAAAACGAAGAAAAATCTCAAGTTTTTTCAATCTATTTTATTTAAATATTGGTATAGAAATAAAAAATAAAACATACATATTTAAAAACTACATCAAAAGTTCAACAAAACAAGTGGTGACAAGAATATTTTATTTTATCATATAGGCCATGAAAAACACAAATAAATATAAATTCTCGTGAAGTTAGAATAGTGTTCTGGGAAGAAAGTTTTAGGACGGAGGGAGTATATGAATTCTAAAAATTCCATGGATGCTTTTAAAATAAACAATTGATATTCTTTTTTGGGTAGAATTAAAACACACACACAGTCAATCTAGGGTTTCTTATATAATCATGCCCCAAACTTCAAATTGCTCCATGAAATCTTATCTTGAGATATGGGACATCGATCAGCAAAGTGTAGAAACAATAATACGTACACTATATGACAACAACTTCTGCCAGAGGATTGAATTTGGAACAAGGTGGATGCACTACTTCAAAATCTCTAGTTTTTAAAGAAGATTTCGATTCGGATTTCCATTTTTGAATAAAGACCAAGGGGATTGGTGGGTAGGGTGGCCTGTGTGAAGGATTGATTGTGATGAAGCTGGAGAAGAAGCAGTTTGTGGAGAAGAAGAGGAGTCAACAAAATCCTAGGGCTTTTGGTCGGATTTGCAACGTGGATTTCTATCTACAAGTAAGAGATGAAAATCCACCAAAACCTACGTTATGAAAAATTTTTAAAATCCATCAATTTTTTAATATCATCACATTCAGAAGAGTTTTTTAAAATCTAAATTGAATACACCAATATTTTAAGTCACTTTTTGAAATCCGATTTGGATTTTCAAAATCCAAGAAAATCCAACAGAATCATAATTAAATACACCCCTTAAGTATCCAAACACACTTATTTAGAAAACATTTTCAACAGTCCTTCTTACTAGTTTACATCAAAGCAAGAGTCACATTGAAATGGGGAAGGACCATTTATAGAATTTATTAAAAAAATAATTTTCTAGTTTTTTAAATCTGAAACAATCACACCTAAAATTATATTTATATTGTTACATAAAAATATACAAGCTCA